GCCAGAGTGTGCCAAAATGCCCCTTTGCACCATGCTCCTGGGCCATATGGGGCTGGCTTTGTGCTGCAAAAAAAGGGGAACCCCCCCTGAAAGCAGCCTTTTCCCCCCTTTTTTGCAGCACAAAGCCAGCCCCAGCCCCACCTAGGAGCGCTATGGCCGCTTTAAGCTGCTTTGTGCTTTTTTTTCCTTTTTTCGCTGTGTGAAGCCAGCCCCATGTGGTCCAGCAGCCAGGCCAGACATGCCTCGTCAGCAGTGGGAGCAAGAAGATGGCGAAGGTCAGCTGGGGCGGCAGAGCGCGGGGTGGCAGGGGTCTCAGAGTACAGGGCGGTAAGGGCGATTGGGACTGGGCTGGGGTGGCTGCGGCTTCCTAGGGTGTGGCAAGCAGCCCCAGAGCCACATGGTTCTGAGGCTGCTTGCCATCCCGCAAGGCAGGGTGTGGGACAGCCAAAAGGGCAGAGGTGGGGGGAGATAGGCGGATGGGGAGGAGTTGGAGGCAGTCCCTTACCTTACTGAGACTCAGGGCTGGGAGGGACCAAGCCCAAAATGGCTTGGGTTGGGTTGGATACCAAGCTAACAACCAGTAAAGACAATGGCAACGGGGATGGCCGGGATTGCAGTTGCTAAGTGATGTGGTCACGTGACATCTTGCTTTATGACCACTTTGCTTAGTGACCGAAATTCCGGTCCCAATTGTGGTCATAAGTTGAGGACTACCTGTATCTCATTAGGACATGCACAAGCTTTCAAAAGTAGCTTGGTTGAATATTTGTTTGGAAGGGAACTCTCAATTTTTCCAGCTTGAAGATGTGGGTCACCCTTGATTTTCTTAATTTCCTTAGAACGTTCAACCACCTTTTTCTCTTATTCAATTCCTAATGCCTTTCCTCTTCTTCCATTGCAGCTGCTGCCCCAGAATGGTCCTTCAAGCCACCGAGGGGATGGAGATCCAGGAGGCATCCCTTTGACTATGATTTTGGTGCCAGGGCTGGCCATAGCAGCAGCTATAGTATGGGCCTTCCTTAGATATCGGCAACGGGTGTGATCAGCATCATTTTCCAAAGATCCTGGTGTCTGGGAAAACCTACAGATCTATGAAATAATTTAAAGAGAACAAATTAGCAATCTTATTCTGGACTGGCATAGGGAGAGGAGAAAGAGAGAATCATTGCTCAATGCAGCCTTCCCCAACCTGGTGCCTTTCAGATGGTGTTGGATTACGACTCCCTTTATTTCCAACCAGCAAGGCCTCCTGGTGGGTATCACTTTGGGGAAGGCTGGAGAACACTAAACATTTTGGCTGCTTAGGGAGTTTCAAATTTCATACACCTAGAATCTGAAAACTTATGAGCTGGACAATCTCAGTTTACTGGTCCTGAAGAAAATTGGTTCAGCCTTTTCTGATTTCTCCTTTATCATGTGAATTTTCATGCGCTCAACATTTTTTCACATGTAGTTAGGTGACAGGGCAAGGCTTGCAGGTTGTGTCTCCTGAGACACAAGGTGAGATAAGGTAACTACTAACTGTTTTGGCACTTGTGCAGCTGCTTCTGAAACACGAAGGGAACTTCTGGAAGAATTGCAGCATAGTTATGCTCTGATGTGGGAGAGCTTGGGTCTCAGGTGGAGTAAAATGTCCTCAAAGATGTAAGAAAGCATGTTTGCTTGATCAAAAGGAGTATTGTGGATCACAGGTGCAGAATCTAGTTTGAAAGTAAAGAAGGTATTGGATTTTTTAAAATTCAGATTTATCTTTATTGTCTAAGTTTTCTCAGAGGAGAATATTGTCCATGATGAGAGATAAAAGTAATAATGAGTATATCTTTCCTTAATGAGTAGAATATTTTGGCAGGGCAGGTTAAACGTTATTTAAATTATGGCTAAACATAACTGCATTTTTGTAGTGGCTTTCTGGCTGAAAAGACAAAAAAATTCCTCCAGCCAAAGCATGGAAAGAGGATGCATTGTCCCTTTTTACTCTGTCTATTCTTAAATAGATCAAATCAAGTGTTGTGTTCAACGGATGATTTATTTCGGGACAGTGTGGTAGAATGCATGGCTTTCGTCTGTGGGATGATCAGGAAGTGGACCCTTGCAATGTTTTCTTCCACGTAACTCACTTCAGATTGGGTGGCCAAACATCTTCTTTCTTAAATTGCTAAAGTGCCAGATAGCTCTTTCCAGGGAGGAGCAACATGTGCTCACGATAATCAATTTTTGTTCGGAGAGTTTGAACCACACCTGTAGCGTCCTCGGGCCATACAGCAAGGCAGCCATTTTTATGTAAGCAAAAGTCTGTGAAATGGTGAGAAGGTACTTGAAAGAAAAGCTACCATGCCTTCACTTTTAAGATCCTTCTGTGCTGATTGTATTATAAAGTTGAGTGATTTGAATTCATTAAAGTATCACCAGTTTTATTCTCAAACGGAATCTGTTTTTGCACTTTGCAAAAGAATGTTGATATAGGAGAAATGCAGGATGCCAAAAAATATGTGTATGCAATACGCATTCAAACTTGTAGTGGCTTTCTAGCCGAAAAGACAAATTTCCTCCAACCAAAGCATGGAAAGATGATACATTGTCCCTTTTTGCTCTCTAAGAATAGAGAAAATCAAGTGTTGTGTTCAACGGATGATTTATTTTGGACCAATTGGGTAGAATGCATGGCTGAACACTTTTTTAACTTTTATAATTTCTACTAGTTCTGTACAGGAGAGTGCTTGAGATATGCTAATGCATGTCTGCTGTGGTTCCCCCTCTCTATGCCTTTAAAAATTGGAGGGAAACTTACCTTCTCTCCAGTTACATTTACCTGGAGTGCTCCCAGCCTTTCTGGATATAGAAAGTCGTCATTCCTTACTGGGGCCCCTATTCCATTAATGAGGACTTGGGCACACCAACGGGGACTCTACAATTTCAGGGGATTGTTAGGAATGTTGTCACTGAAAAGACATTTTCCACAAGCACGGTACAATTGCAACAGTATAACATTGCAGACACACAAACTGGAACCCTGATAACAGAGGCTTTTAGTGTGCAAGGAAGTTATTATAGTAATATGGACCTTCTGAGATAGTTATTAGATGAAACTGTTTGGGTTACAGTCACAGAATTTTTCTGACTTCAAACACAGTCAAAAGCATCACATTCAGGTAGAGCCTTCTCACTAATTGTGTTGCAATAAAACGATAATCAAATATTCCTTTCCTGCCTAATGTCTGGAGTTTGCACCTGCCTTTCCTCTACAGTGTAGTTTTGTGAAGCACCATTGGTTTTCCCCATGTAATTTGGGGAGAAAAAGCCAAAATACTACGAAGAATTATATTCTTCAGCATGGGGAATGCAAATTCCTGTGGTAAGCAGAAATCTAAAATAAGAGAAATAAATTCTGTCTGGGATTTGAGATATTTTTGCATTTGGATTTTTCTTTGGAACTTGATTCTGAGTTTCTGTTTGTAGAAGGACACCATGCTTGCTATCTAGCATTGCCTTAGCTTTGGTGAACATAGACACATTATAAACAGTCATGCTCCCAGATCCCTCTGCTCCAGTTGTGAAAAATCTGCAGTTCTTACAATGCAAGAGTGTGGAATGTTCAGATCATATGTAACTCACGAACTCTCTTTTTAGCAGCCCTCCAGATATTATCCTGGCAAAATTCAGTGGTCAAATGATAATTTTCTTCTGTTTATCTGCAGAAGACATCTCCCTGTAAAAAAGTTTCAGGTGGACTTCACACTCCTAAGAAAAACATTTTTAGAAACCCTCCAACCCTCTCCAAATGTAGAAATCCTGCACTAGCCCACTTATGTGATGACAGTAGCACTATTCTTGTCCCTTCTTGTCCTTTGGGGGGCAGTTAGGTGCCCCCAAAGTTGCACCTAACTGCCCCCCAAAAGTACACAGCTTTGTCTTTGAGGTTCAAAAGGTTCGTGCTTTCAACAGCTATTGCTTGCTGTATAATACCTGCCAGTGGGTTTTAATTGCCATATTTCTCCTGCATTAAGGGTAGATCAAAAGATGATGGGGCTCATTCCACAAATAGAAGTAGCTACTAATGCTGGCATTTTTTAATTACTGCCTTTGATGTGGACAGGTGAATCCTATTCTTTAATTGTCTTAGACTACAGTTACCTTGAATCATTCTGAAAATGGTTCCTTTAGTGAAATCCTGAGCACATGTACAGCATCTGGCAAACAAAATGGATTCCCAAGTATTTCAGTCCAGTAGTATGTTCAATCTGCTTTTCATATAAAAGTCTTTGTACCCAGGATGGGTTTTGCCAAACCAGTTTGTTGCCCTGAATCTTCATTTCCCCTTTCTCTCTTTTGAAAAGGCAGATATCTTTTTGAAAACATCTGCTTGATTAGAACTCAGGAAAGCAAATGCAATTTGAAGATTGATAGACAAAAAGGTCAAAACCCAGAAATTGTTAGCTGCTCTCATTCTGTGGTTCAGATATTGAATGTTCTGCACGTTACCTGAAAGGTCTGGTAAAAATGCAGAAAAAATGATTAGGGAATATTTCCTTGTATATATATGAAGGGCAAAACATTTGGCAATTCATAACCCTAGGACATGAAGGACAACAGAATTGGACAAACACAAATAATGGAATCAAGATAATTTATTCTTCATACTCAAAAGCAAGCTCTCCAATCAGTGGCCAAATCCAACACATTTAACCATATGGATGGCACAGGTGAAATGTTGAGGTTTTGTGATAGTTATTTAATAAAGTTAATAGATTAAATGGTCTCTTCTTTAAAGGATGCACAGTTCTTTTTGTAGCAATTTACTTTTCAAGTCACAAATGCTTGAGTCCCTGAATTTACCATTTTAAATACTATACGTCAATGATTTATTGATGATGGCTGGGAAATATGAGAATTCAAGTCCAACACATGCAGGGAATCAAAGTGAAAATAATAATTCTAGCACATCTGGGCCAGAAGTGATCAGAAAGAAAACTGACCATTTCATCTGTCCTAGAAGTGGTTCCAGTGTCCTGATCTTGACTGTTCACGTAAGCGCTAAGGGTAGAAATGACAGTCTAAAAGCATATCCATTTTTCAACATGTAGAGAAATCTCTTGAGTTGCTACAACTTTCAGGATTGAATTTAATATTGATCGGAATCTGCTTTTTATCAGTTTCCTAGCTCAGCATCAGTTAGGCTGACTGGCATAGATCCCTCCAAGGTTTAGGCAGACATATTTACCTGGAGATTTCAGTCGGTGTCCCAGGACATCTCCAGATAATGCATGCTCTGACCACTGATCTCTAGCCTTTTTGAAACATCTCTTGTTCCACCTATATATTTACATGTGAGTAGTATGATTTTGTGGCTACAGGAACACAGCTTGGGTGAAGCAGAGAATTAATGCCTCAGTACTTTGCCCAGTATTATTAGTTTCTCTGAAATTCCAGCAAACGTTTGCTTGGAAGAAAATTCTATTGAAATTAATAAACATTACCTGAATACCCAGTATTTAGGATTGTGGGAGTTCTTTGCTGTCTAAGCAGGGTTTTTTTTGGGGGGGGGGTCATACTTATAAAATGTGCACATATTTATTTAGACAATTCTTTATCCTCACAGGAAGCCACATTCACTCTGCTTCAGATTCATAATGGTGCCATGTTGCCCGTCTGATATTTGATAACCTGGGATCAATTTAGAGGAACTCACTCATTTTCCAATGATGCTGAAGCTGCAGATTAGAGAATAAAGTAACGGTAAACAAGTACAGACTGTAAGGCAATTAGGAGCTGAAGAGTCCACTGCCTTGCAAACTACAAATTTTAATGGGCAAAGATTTCTCACAGTCTTTCTGCTATCTTCAGCCTCTTCCTGCTTAGAGTTCCCTGCAGATAAAAAGTTCTGGCTCTGAAGAAAAACATTCTTGTATATTGCAACATTTTCTGGTGGGTCCCAAATGTTACAGCTTAATTGTGGGAACTGGTATGTTACTCTGTTTGGCGAAGAGGCTTTTGCCTGTGGACAAAGCAAGCTGCATTTGTAACAAAACAATATATTAGTCACAACAATTTGGCCCAAATAAATGGCTAGGCAGTGGGCATTCAAATAACCAATGTTCTCTTTTCGGAGAAATGGGGAAGTCTGCCACCAAGGACTATAGCTGCACTATCTATGGGAGCTGTTGAGGCCAAGCAATTAAGCATCACAAGTAACTTGCCAAAACTTGGCTAAAGAGTGTTGCAAGTTCTGCTTCAGAGAGAATTTCCTTGTTTTGAAAGGGTAGAGAAATGCAGCCTCTTGGCAGCAATACAATTCAGGGGATACATTTGACAACCTATTCAAAGAGCCCAACACAGTTTCCTTAGCATACACAGTTCCCTTAGTTTTTCTCAGACTGAGTCAAAATCGGCCCAAGTGGTTGCAAGCAACTTCAGGAACGAGGAAAGCCACTGCAAGACAGTGGCCGCCTCTTCCCACTCTTTAGCTTGGAAAAAGACAATGGTCGGTAGGGGAACATGATCAAAGCATATACATTCATGTTTGGCATGAGGAAAGAGGAGTTTTCCTCCCTTCCTCAAAATGTAAGGACTAGGACTCATCCGATGAAGCTGATTGAAAGAGATTTAGACTAGACCAAAAAAAAAAAAAAGATTTCTTCACACATTATTAATCTGTGGAAATTAACAGAAGACATGGTGCTGGCCACTGACTAGGCCGGCTTTAAAAGCAGATTAGAAAAATTCATGGAGGACAAATCCATTAGGTTGCAGAAGAACAATAGCAGAGGAGCGGTGTGTCTGCTGCTTGTTTGTGATCACCCAGAGGCGTTTGGCCACTGTGAGAAACAAAATGCTGGATTGAGATAGACAGATCTTGGTCTGTTCCAGCAGGGCTTATTCTCATGGTTTTAAGGTCTTACAGGGGGAGAGAGAGAGAGAGAATGGACTAAAATAATGGGGCAGTTAGACACAACCCTTTGTCGTTTTCTCTTAGAAAGCCAGATGATTCATCTTTTAAATCAAATGTAAGCAACTTGAGTTAGCTTAAGGGCCAATCCAGGTTTTGCTCAATATTTGGCAGAATCAGGACTTCAGTGGGGGTAGGTTGGATTTCTAAAGGGGTGAAAAAAAAACCCAAGTCTCCCCAAATTAAAAATTAAGTCAGCAAGCCACAAGTTACATGCTTCTCATAGACCCTCTTTTATATGCTTATTTGAAATCAGAAGAAACAAGACTGTACTGAGCTAACCCTTTTCCTCAATGTAGTGTCTCCTCCAGTAAGTTGGGTAATGAGGTCCAGCCAACATGTTCATGCTGGTTGGGGATGATTTCTATTAGAGTTTGAAACAGCTGGAGAACACCTTATTGGGAAGAGAAAATTAAATCAGCAATTATCTGTGAAAGATAGGTGTGGAACAACAATCTAGAGCACGGTGTTTCCAATTT